TCAGCGACAACGTGCGATCCTACTTTCTCAACGAAGTAGACGGCCTCAAGTCCAATGATGGCATCCTCATGGTCGGTTCAACGAACCACCTTGACAGACTCGACCCGGGTATCTCCAAGCGTCCCAGTCGCTTCGACCGCAAATACTACTTCTCGAACCCTGACTATGCGCAGCGAGTCCAGTACTCCAAATTCTGGCAGGGCAAACTTGCAGACAACAAAGACCTGGATTTTCCTGACAAGTTGTGCGAAAAGATCGCGGAGATTACGGACAAATTCTCGTTTGCGTACATGCAGGAAGCTTTCATCGCATCTCTGCTTGCCATCGCTACACGTGGCGGCCAGGACAAGGTCGAAGCTGAAATGGAAGCACTTCGTTGGGCAGGTCCCCAAGACCCAATGCGCCCCATTGACTCACAGTTCCGTGTGATGGGTGGCGGCGGCGACGACTCAGACGTAAAGCACCTGGAACTGTGGATCGAGATGCAGAAGCAGGTCAAGATCCTGAGGGACGAGATGGAGGAGAAGAAGCTGTCTGAGCGGATGGAGACGCTACTGCAGCGCCCCAGCAAAGGTGGAAACAGTGAGAATCCAACCAGGCATCGTGATGAACTTGATGCCATGCTTCACGAGAGGCGTGATGACCCCATGAGCTTGTTGGGCGATGCTATCAAGAGGTTCATGTAGGCTCGAAGTTACGACCATATACTGATTTGCACTTTGCGGCGTTTGGTGTCTGTTTCGCTATGTAGTCATGACCAAACTGATTTCAACCATAAAAAACTGCATTCAAGCTGCTCCTGCACGCACTGCTACAATTTCTAATGTGTCGGCGCCTCCAGGACTCCTCTTAATGCCATATTCCAAAACGCCTCGCTAGATAACAATAGCAGGATATCTTACGCACCACATAGGCCTACAACAGTACACAACACCCCTTACGAGCAGTCTTAGTATCCGTGTATAGCGCATTGCAAACAATGCCTCGCACTCGACTCGACAGCACACAGGCTGCAGACATTCTTCCCACACTCGTGACATGCAAACAACTTCAGACCTGCCACACCGTCCATGTCAACATCCATGCCGTCACCATCAGCGTCCAGCACCGCATCGCAGTCTTCACACCGCGGCCCCTGCTCGCTGCATTGGGTGTGCACCGCCTGGTAGGAGAAGATGGGTGCTTGGACCGGCGGCGCCGAGATGTGCCAGAACGAGTGGAGTGTGGATTTCTGCGGTCTGGACACCACGATGGCGGGTTGTGTGGGTGGCAGGGGGTCGGAGGGAATTGGGGATGCGTGGGGGTGTTGCCGTTGCGCGAGGAAGAGCTTGTGTACTGTGTTTTCTGCGCGCGCTGTCAGTATGATTTACGTCTGGCGATGAGGAGGCACGGTGAATTCGTACCGTGGATGGCGCGCTCGTCGGGGCGGTTGTCGCGGACCCGTTTGCGCGTGCGGTTGCCCCAGTCGCTGCTTTTCACGCGCTGGGCGCGTGAGAAGTCCCAACTGTTGGTTCGTGGTGAGGCTTCGTTGTCCATGTCCATTGCGCTGTCGTATTGAATGTATGGTAAGGGTGACTGAGCGTCTGGTGTCGAGACGAAGCCTGCGCTGGAGGTCGATGTTGGAGAAGCGTCGTCGAAATGTTTGCGCTTGACACCCATGATGTTAATGTTGATTGGAGAAACCTTTGAGCAAAATCTACACGTGATAGTGTACAGTAATTGCCGGCTAGTTGGATAACGCGGCCGTGTTGCAATGAAGTAAGTCAATTGAATGACGATGGTGATGTTGGATGGCTGGCCGCGACACGCGACGAATTACCGCGGAGCGACGCGCTCGCGTTGTGGGGTAAGTGGCACCAGTTGTTCGGCGACAGATAATTTGAGCCTTATCACCACGGTCTGGGTTACCGGTCATGATACAAGAGGGCTTTCATGATGGCATTATGCTTAGACTAAGATCAGTTCGAGGTCGTACGTCCTCTTCCAGGGCACCTTCGCCTTTCACAAACTCAAGCATCAGGGCATACACAAGCCTGCCGTATAGTCGGGAACACCTTATTCCACTCTGTGCATCTCACTCATATTCTTGAGCCGAGCAACTGATTATGAGCCCCTGATGCGTAGGGGAGATCATGTGCAAGCACAGGAATATCACAAGCATGCAGAACGATGACGAAAGCACCACTTACCTGAAGCTCCTGCCCCACATCAGCTTCCTTTACCCCACTCAAGTACAACACGACTCGCCCTGATATCACCAGCTGATTGCAAGTTCGTCGATTCTTCATTCTGTCTTTGCCTGTGAATTTGGTCAAGATGGTCACTCGTAGAGCTACTCACGCCGGCTCCTGGTATACAGATAAAGGGCCTTTGCTCTCACAGCAGCTCGATGGCTGGCTAGCAGATGTACCGAGCTCCATAACGCCTATTGGCACAGCATCCTCAAAGGAAGGAGATGTTTCTGTACCGACACCCCATGCTCGAGCTATCATTGGACCGTAGGATTTGCTGCATCTCTTGAACATATCACAGGGCTCATGGACATGCAGGCATGCTGGATTCTCTTACTCCGGGCCTGCCGCTGCATGGGCCTACAAAACTGCTGACTGGGCAAATGTGTAGGTAGCATTGTCCGATATCAGCTTTCATACTAATTCTGCTAGCAAGCGCGTGTTCCTTATCTTCCCGTCCCACCACCATTACCTTTCCGGTGCTGCAACAACCGGCTGCGACAAGTATGCCACGCCAATCGGCGACCTTACCATAGACACCGCGCTAGTCAAGCAGATACAGAAAGAATGGGGCCTCGAGGTCATGGAAAGAGGAGTGGACGAAGATGAGCACAGCTCGGAGATGCACCTCCCATATATCTTCAAGATGCTGTCACTGTAGGCTGATCATCCACACCACACTCTTCTTGCTGCTGATGTGCCTTCACAGAAAGAACGCAAGCTTCCAATCAGACCCGAGCTCTGTACCACTCGTCCCAATTATGGTCGGCAATACAGACGCCCAAGCCGAAGCACACTACGGCTCGCTCCTTGCACCCTATCTCTCTGATCCCAGCAACATCTTCGTGATCTCCTCCGACTTCTGTCACTGGGGCTCCCGCTTCCGGTATACATACTACCAGCCACCTGACAGTTCATCTGGCACGAATTTGAAATCCAATTCACGCGTCGCGGGCGACTTTCCGATCCACGAGAGTATTGCAGCAGTTGACAAGCAAAGCATGGATGCGGTGGAGGGAGGTTCCCACAAAGAGTTCTTGCAGCAATTGAGAGACACTGGGAACACAGTGTGTGGCAGACATCCCATTGGGGTATTCTTAGCTGCTGTTGAGAAGGCCGAGGGACTGGGTGAGGGTAAAGGCAGGTTCAAGTTCGTGAGATACGAGAGGAGTAGCTTGGTGGAGGATATTCGTGACAGTAGCGTTTCCTATGCGAGCGCTATCGCTATCTTGTGAGGCGGTGAAATGACGAGATAGCTGAAGAAGCGTGTCATAAGTGAGACAGCATGGGCAGGAGAAACTGCATCAGATGTGAATTCTACATTGATAGTTCGGTAGACCAGATAGCATACTACATAATGTACTGGAGTCGGTCATTGAAGAAAAAAAAAACTCTTGAAGCGGAAGCATTAACGAATGCCGCATTGTTGTATCCAGTCGAATATACACACCGCAGACACGGGGTGTCATAACGCTGCTTGTCAATAGAACTGTAAGCCCAATCACAGACCACACAACAGTACTTTGTTTCGCATGCAAAAGAAAACACTCTTATCGCAAAGACGAGCGTCACGAAGCTCACGCATGCATAGAGGGCAAAAAAGGTCGTACCCGGACTCGAACCGGGGTTTCCAGAATTTTTGAAGTCAAATCAAAATCTGAAGTGATAACCTCTACCTGTATTGCAATTAGCGTGTACTAACGAAGAAGCACATCAGTGGAAAACTTACACCATACAACCGTGTTGTGAGATGGAATATTGTTGGAAAATAATGTCTGTATAGAGCGTGGTATCTATGTGGTACTTAGTAACTGTCTTCAAGGATGAGTGGGGCGCTCGTCGTGTGGGCTTGGCCGAGTCTTGGGTGGCGTGTGGGCAAAAGCGAGGCAGAAGTGGAGACTGATTAACTTGGAACAAGAGCGATGGCCCATTAATCGTCAACTAGTTCGATGCGCCGCATGCTGATCAATAGACAGCCTAGCTACATCGTTGGAGATAAGAAGAACACAGAGTTCGGGTTAGGAGGGAGAATATGTCGAAAACCGATACGCATCGCAGTACTCGAGCCGAAAAACTCTTACCATCGAGCTAGTCTTAGTAAAAATGCAGAAGTACCGGGTCAGCACGCTCGACGAAGAAATTTCTTCATACCAAGCATTGGAGTCCGTGATAGCGCAGCCTAGACATTCCCGCCAGGGTACACAAAGTGGCGACTCGAACAGAGGGCCGTGCAAAAGGTCTATATCGGGCCGCGAACTACCTCGTAATGTGTGGCTTGAAAGGATGGCACGATTATGCACGGGAACCTCCGGTTGTTGGTCGAAGGAGGGCCCTACACAAAAGTAAACTGCCGAACTCCAATAAACCCCAGCTTGAGCATGATTGACTCTGGGTTGATACTATCAATTGCGCTTAGCATAGTATAGTATAGGTATCAAGGCGTGTGTCCTGCGGCTGGAGTACTTCGTGATGGGAAGTCCATACAACACCATAAAACATCACCATGGATTTGCACTTCGTGACTTCAATCGATCCTACGCCTTGTAAGCTCCAGGAGGCATGCATGAATACATTTATAATCAAGGCTATCAACAGAGCAGCCTCAAGATGCAAAAACGATGATGCACATTGCAGTTCACCACACAGCTAGGGAGGGTCAAACTCCAGACATTCTGCGCTTTGCATTGAACAATGTAAAGCAAACCTTGTGAACACCAAACCGATATTTGGCGGTGTGCTGACGCCCCTCCTCACGCAAAAAAAGATGCGTACGGGCTGGGAGGATCGAACTCCCGACCTTCTGCGCTTGACAGTTGACACTGTAAAGCAGACATCATAACCACTAGACTAAGCCCGCCAATCGTGTTTACTAGATTGATGGTGCTTCAAAAAATAAGTAGTTTATAATCTACAATCAATGGTCTCAATCATCCCGTGTGGTTCATCTAGACACGAGGCCATAAATTACTCAGAGTGAACATACAATCGTCCAGAGCCTTAAGGCATATCTGAACTCCAAGGTTATGTAAAATTTGGCGCGGGCTAATGCTGACCATCCGAGACATAGCTCTATATTGCCGTCCAGCACCGAACCATGACATCTTACCCCAGATAAACCTCAGGCATCTTACTCCGCCCACCTCACCTCCACCATCTCATAACCATCATGTTTGCACAATCCCCCTTGCGCGTCCGCGCAGCGGCCAGGACTGTAGCGGCCCAGACCACGCGCACCTATACATCTCGAGCCGCCGAGATGCCCGTTCGAACCGCACCCATCCGCACATTGCTGCGCACAACAACTCTGCGCGCATCCACGACAGCCGCGCAGCGCAGCTCCCCCTACCTTACATCCCAAATCCATACACAACCACAGTCGCAACTGCGCTCGCGCTCCCCCTCCCCAGCACCGCGCTACGAGATCCGCAACCACTCCATCCTCGCCGCGCCAAATCAGTGGACCCGCTTCTCCACACCGACTTCCCTCTCCTCCGTCCGCACATTCACCTCCACCCCTAAGATCTCCTGGCCCGCGGAGCCTGCAAGTGCAGAAGTGTCTCCTGAGCAGCAGCAAGTCATCGAAGACCACATCGAGACGATAACCGACATGTTCGGTACCGCGAAAGACGAGTTTGAAATCGCGTCTGAGGAGACGGACAAGAACACCACGTACGCACAAGATGACCGCGAGGCGGCACGCGAGGCGCTGGACAAGCTGCTTGAGTACTACGGGAGGGTTGTCAGTGAGGCGGAGGAGGTCGTTGGTGCTGAGGTGAAGAGGCGAGTCGGGCACAGGATTCGGGAGTTGGAGGCCGGTGTTAAGGCCATGGAGGAGAGGGCGATCGAGCACGATTAAAGACATGCATTTCCTTTGTTCTCGCTCAACGCATGTGCATGGGTCGACCGCTGAGGCAGAGGGGCACTTCAGTCTACCACAAACACACGGCGTTCTGGGTGCTGCATTTGGTACAGCGTCTGGGCATATTAAGTCGATGGGAAACGTGGGTTAGATGCGCGCGTGTACAGATAGTGCTGTAAAATACTTCCCTATGTTGTATGCAAATGTTGGACTATCTATACTTTGGTCTGAACATCGTTGCTCGATGTGATCCAGCCAAACCCACCCATACACCATAAACACCAACTCAATGCAATCCCAATTCGCCTGATCTAATTCCTTTATTCAGCCTTCACTGTTGTCGCGGCTTCGGCATGCTCGTATGCTTCACACTCCAGCCTTGCATGGTTCTCCTTGCGCCCAATGTCCTACGCTGTGCTTGCTGGTTCTGCACCATGCTCATCGACGTTGTGTGGAAGGTTGATGCAGGTCTAAAGCCATTTGTTGACGTAGCTTGTGCTTTCCTTGGGCTATCGACTTCTTGCACCTCTTCATCGTCATCTGGAAGGGTGGTTGCTTCCTTCTTGTCAGGTTTCGAGGGCGAGCTTGGCATCAAAGCATGTCGTGTGTGTTCCGCATCTGATTCATTGGCAGCTCTCCTTGGTTTGCTAACCATTGGTCGGTTGAGAAGCATGCGAGTAGGTACGGACAGCGGCTGGAAGGGTCGTGGCCGTGAAAGTGGTTCTTGGTCTTTAGAGCTGTCGTTAAGTGATCCAAGACAGGACACTGACGATTGCGATCGCTTGAGCGAACGTCCAAGCTGGGCCACTGCCTCTGGTGTTTCCGAGAGTGTCCTGCCTGCACCCTTGAAGAAGCTTGTGATCGTATCCTGGCCTGTTGCTCGATGCTTAGGCCTTCTGCCTTGAGTCGGGTTCTCGCCTGATCTTCGGACCTCGTTATAAGTCGGCGCTCTGCTTCTATCGTCGTCGTCGAATCGCCGTAGTTCCTGCTGTATGTTCTGCAGGTCCCTAGCGCTAAGAAAGCCATTGGCTGACTGAAATCCCGTTGCCGTCATCAAGCCTTTGTCTTCGACACTAACGTTCACGTCTGAGATGTTTTTAGAGCTTGAGTTGTCAGGAGACTCGACCCTACGTCGTTTATTGTCGACATCTTGCCTATCGTGATTCCAGCCAGTATATTCTGTGCTGTATGACGGTGCCATACCGTCTATCTCGTCTCGTGTTGCCGGATACCTGTCGTCTTCCAGCCGCTCCAGCAGGGTTCGAGCGACGGATAGCCAAGCAGGCTCTGGACAAGGCCTATGAAGAATGCATGCGATGTCAGGTATGGTGCTTCTCTTGAATGCAAGGTCCGGGCCACGTGGACTAAAGAACTTCTTCAGACCGTCATCAGACACAAACCTAGAAAGTTTTGTCTCTTCCTGGCCTGATGAGCGCATCGGGCAGCTAAGATACAACAACGCTTTCGCTCGTGTCATACCCACGTATAACAGCCGTCGCTCTTCGTCGTGATCTTCGGCTCTAGAGTGTGGAAGTGAACCCTCATACACGGCGGGTATGAAGACAATAGGCCATTCCAAACCCTTGGCAGCATGAATCGTGGAAATGGTAACCTGGCTCGCTTCCTGGCCATCTTCCCTCTCCACTTCCGTTGCAAGCGCGACGTTGACCAGGAACTTGGACAAAACGTCAGCTGGACTGTCTGGGCGTTGCGAGATTCCTTCCACCTCGGGCAAGGCATCGTCCATACCCGTCTCGCCATCGTTGATTGCAGTCGCCATTTGTGTTGCTTGTGCAATCAATTCGTCAACATTGGCCAATCGATCTTTCCAGTTCTCCTTATACATTTGCTTCAAATATGACTCTAATGCTGCTTTGTTGAAGATGTGCGTGATAAGATCAAGCAGGTTCCAAGGTTCGCCTTCGGCAGGTTCAAGCTTGTCGCGCGCTGTGTAGATGAGTCGGAAGAATAGCGTAATACCCTGTGTTGCTGGTGCTGATAGCTTGGTAACGGGAGTTTTCCTGCCTTGTGCGACATCCTGTACCAGAGACCACAGAGGCACCTTTCGAACTTCGGCTTCCTCCAGCAGAGCTTTGATTGTCTTGTCTCCGATCTTGCGGGACGGCGTGTTGATGACATTGACGATTGAATCATTGTTATCGGGATTGTTTATGACACGCAGATAACTTAGAATGATCTTTATCTCGGCTCTGTCGAAGAAGCGCTTTCCCCCCACCATTTTGTAGGGTATGCCAGCCCGTCCGAGCTCACGCTCGATGGACAGGGAGAGAGCTGCCGAGCGGAGTAGAATCGAGTAGTCGCTGTAATTTAGCAAGCCGGCGCCGAGGGTTTGCGTTCTTACAATTTCTTCGACAATCCATTGCGCTTCAACGTTTGCAGTGGCAAGATGCCGAAGCGTTGGCTGTTCACCAACGCAGTGTGTGGCGATTAGTGCCTTCTCTGGCCGGCTGTCATCCTGTTCAATAACAGCAAGTGCAGCGCTGAGGATGGATCCAGCGGATCTATAGTTGTTCTCGAGGTTAATGACGATTGCTTCTGGGTAGTCTACGCGCATGCGTAGCAGGTTCTTGATTTCGGCAGCACGGAAGCTGTAAATGCTCTGGTCCGGGTCTCCGACAATGGTTATACGCTGCGTACTCTGAGCCATGAGCTTCATCAGCTCATACTGAATGTTGTTCGTGTCTTGGTATTCATCGATAAGCACCGCTTGGATGGTGGAAACGCACGATGGGTGCTGTCTTAGCAGATCCACGCAGCGAATGAGAAGATCATCATAATCCAGCAGATTCGAAGCCTTGAGATGTTCTTGGTAAGAAGAGTAGATTTGAGAGAATTCACTCTCCTCGGCCTTTTTCTTGGTTGCTGCGAAGTCCGCAGCCGAGATACCCTTCGCTTTCAAGCTTGAGATCCTGGATCGAGCGTACCCTGGTTCAACCATGTACTGGTAGCGATTCACAATGCGCTTGATAATCGCTCTGCTATCGTCGGTATCTGCAATGCCAAAGTTCTTGTCGATACCAATCTCCTGGCCGTACCGAGATAGGAAGCGGCGCGCGACTGAATGAAATGTGCCTAGAATGAGCTTGGCCTCAAGTTTCTCGCCCACGAATCCCTTGATCCTCTCTTTCATTTCTCGAGCCGCTTTGATTGTAAAGGTGCAGACGATGATGTTCCATGGTTGTAGGCGTTCGTGGATAACGTGGTACGCGACGCGTGCCGTCAATGTCTTTGTTTTGCCCGAGCCCGGTGGCGCCAGCACTTGGAGCACACCGGCAGGGCTGGTGACTGCATCCTTCTGCGCTTCGTTCAGGCCCTCCAAGAGGACATCCATCGCTGAGGAGAGGGCGCTGAGCGTCACATGGCAAGGTCGAAGTCATGAAGGACCTTGAAAGCCCGTGCAGGGTGGCGCGCCTGAAAACGCGCTAATCGCGAACACACGTGACGGGGACATGAACGTGCTTCAACGGTCGCTTCTGTTTTAACACTCACTAACGCATCGGAAGTATCGGTAAATCAGACGATCTAACAAGCTTCGTTCTGAAAGCAGGTAGTGTTACAGTCAAAACAAAATAGAGCTTTGTCATATGCAAAATACAGGTGAGCTTCGAATACCTGGCAATAAAACTACACGAGTGAAATTGACACACCTTGCCTTGCTCACGATTTACCTGTGATTGTTGATTTCAGGAACTCTGGTCAATGCAGCACTCGGTAGCTCCGCCGAATATGCCGGCATTCTCAACGAGTTCCTTCTCGGTCAAACGCCGACAGCGTGACATCTCCCGGGCCTGACTACCCCGCCATCTACTTTTGAGATAGTGCGAGGCACTTCAGACGAATTACAGCCCGCATCATGAACCAGAAGAACCACTTTTGCCGGCGAAGTCTCTGGCTTCAGCCTTGGATCATCATCGGGCCGGGGGTTGTGGGGAGAGGAACAATCTGGGTGAAGCTTGTGCTGGCATTATAGTTACAAC